GCGTCACTTGAGGACTCAAAGTAGTAGAGTCTTCAGTCATCGTCAGAAAAAGTAGGTCCAGCTGCATCATTTGCATCAGAGTCAAGCTTCAAAGACAAACCAAAGTTGGACTATTACTCAAAAACACATTAAGAAAAATAGGAAAATATAATCCAACATTCAAATTCGGTACTAGACCTACTAGAACTAAGTGCTAACAGAATAACAAGGAAAATATAATAATCATATGGTTTACAAACAAGTCACAGGCTCACATATCATAATGGCATAACACATCGACATAGTCCATAGTCCATACACCATTCCACTCCATAGTTCATAGTCATACTCCATACCATGAGAGGAGGGAAAAAAAGGAAAGAAATATAGACCAGCTCACTTGAGGACTCAAAGGGTAGAGTCTTCAGTCATCGTCAGAAAAAGTAGGTCCAGCTGCATCATTTGCATCAGAGTCAAGCACATCATCATCAGAACTATGCCCCTCCTCAACGTAATACTTGTTCTTTGTTTCTTCTGAATCCCCTCACCCTCTGGGAAGATGATCTAGTGGCTCTAGGAGGATTGGCTGCTGCACTTGAGGCCTCCATAACCATATCCCATGTGAATCCCTCATGCCCCTCGATTCCTCATCATCATCAACCAACCACACCATATCATTCTTCATGTCTTTCCTTCTAAGGGGGGTCTCTTTTTTCTCGCTTTGCAAATCTTTCCTTCAAGAATTGATTGAACTTCACATAAACGAAGTCATATAGCCTCTTTGATTCTAGCTTGATTCTAGCTTGTTTCTTTTCTTTGTATGAACTGTATAAAAAATTGAAAACGCATACAATAAAGTGAATAATATTACACTTTACACAGTAATCAGTAATTACTAATACTAATTAGTAAACTGTAAAGTAATAATTCAATTGTTTAAAATTTAAACTTAAGTAGCATAGTGAGTAACTAACATACCATTTCAAAAGTACTCCAGTTCCTCTCATAGCCAGACGAGGTAGTGATTAGGCTCAAGATCGAAATGGCCTGCTTTTGCAAGTTTGGAGCACTACACCCTGCTGCCTCCACCAATGGGCTGCAAATTACTATGAGTTAACTATGGCTTCAAGTTAACTATAGTTTACTATGAGTTGATTGTGAATTACGATTACATATGAAATATTAAAATTAAACAACAAACATGAAACTTGAACTTCAATACTATGTTGAGTATATTATTACCTGGATCAAGGTTGGTCCTCTGCCTTAGTGCTATTGCACTCCCAAAAGACTTCAATGCCCACTTGTAAGACATCAATGCATATGATGTCTTGGATTTCCTGATTAGGGACTAGCATAGCCAGACAATAATTAAAGGGTGCGGTTTGTATAGAGCCGAGATTCTAAACAATCAAAAGTAAAGCTCACCTTCAAATAGTGTCAAGAAATGTGGTTTCAATACTGGAAATCTTTGTGATAGCCTTAAAATATATTTTCATCTTTAATTATAAAACTTAAAACTTCAAAAATAGTGTAGATAGAGCAGATCTATGAAAACTTGAAAGTCTTGAAAATTGACAGTCCAAAAATGCGTTACAAGATGCACTATTTCCAAAACTTGAAATCGATTTTTTTTCTCATGTCCATGCATCTTGATGTCGAGATGATCAAATTGAGGATATTTGGGCATCAAAGCAACCTCTTCTAGGGAAATTTTTGAGGTGGTTTCTAATTTGATTGTTTAGAGCCTCGGCTCTATATGAACTTTTTCCATAATTTAATCCACTCATAATTGCATCATTTATCTGTAGATCCTTATTAGCATAGAAAAAAGTTGGGTTCAAAAAATAACGTGTAGCATACAATGGTCGGTTTAGCTGCCTATCCCACTTCTCATCAATAATGTTTCGAACTAGCTCATAGAAGCTCTCATTATTATCCAAATCTTTAGCTATCTACCTATCTCTCTCTTGCAACTGTCCAATGCCTCATATATGAAGCCCATGGACGGCTTGTCACTATCAACCATGCGTAAACTGTGACTAGAGGAAAAAATACCTTAAGAGCATCTTTCATCCCTTGCCAAAAGATCTTAGATTGGATGATATCTCATGTTTTCTTCCCTTTTTTATTCCTAGCTCACTTGCATGCTCTCCAATCATCAGAAGTGAACATCTACCTCAACTGGATTCGCCACGCATATAAGCTATCTAGACACAGGAACCAGGCAGAAAATCTCGTGAGCCCCTCCTCACTATCTCTTTCTTCTTTGTACACCTGCACATCATGCTGAGGGTGAGGGTGTGGCTGTATATGAAGGTTGTAACAGATTCAGCCTTCTTAACTGTATGTGCAATCTCGCTCATATAGCGCCTTAAGCATGAGGTCTATGCAATGTCCATGCGCATGGTGTCCAAAAGATACGAGGGTAGCTCATGCGCAACAAATTAGAGGCAACAACACTGGAGCAGCATTATCTATGACAACCTGAATAACATGCTACTCCCCAAC